TGTTGGTGGTGGTGATGGGGGTGTTGATGGTGGTGATGGGGGTGATGTTGGTGTTGGTGTTGCTGCTGTCATTGCTGTTGTTGTTGCTGCTACTGTTTGCTAGAAAGAAAAGAAGGAGAAAGAGAAGATGAAAAATGAAGAGGGGCAAGAGAAGAAAGAGAAGAAGGAGGAGAAGACGAAGGAAGAGGATAGCGCAGGGGAGGAGGAAAAGGACGTCGATAGCTGTGACAAAAAAAAGACAAAAAGACAATTTATAAAAAGTCTAAGTAAACGGGAATAAAATATCAACTACGGATGAAACGTTCGTACTCTTAAAGTTAAAGGAAAAAATCTATCGCCATACTCTTTCGTTGCTTGTTTGGGGAGGGGGGGGTCCCCTTTCCCTTCTTCTTTTTTTTCTCTGCATGACAACGTCAGTGCAGCCTAATCGAGGGGAAGATTGAACTGCTTGTATCAACTCTCAGTATTATCGCCAGGAAGTGTCAGCGCACGAGATAATGGCTCGTTCACTTGAACGAAAAGGTCAATGATACCATTAGAAACATAAAAATATAGGGAAAACATTTTTTTTTAAAGCAAAAAGATAATATAAATGAGTAGAAAGAAAAAAGAGACTACTTAACGCCATGGAAAACAGTAATCATGATGGTATTGGAATGGTGAAAACGTTTTTTTTTACAATGATCTTTAAATCCAAAAGTTGTAACCTTTGAATACAAAGGACGTGCAGCTTGCTTGTATGAATTGGAATTTTTCAGGGGGGTGGGGTCGTTCATTCTTGTGGCTACTGGGAACAGACAGGCGTGGTGTGACGGTTAGGCTCTTTGCAGTCATACGCAGAAGACATGAGTTCGATTACGACGTATGAATTATTTTTTTTAGGGGGTTTACCGAGGGTCTCCGCCTGTCTGTTTTCAGATCTCGTTCTCAAGTGGATGTCGACCTTCCTCTCTTCCTCCTCCCGTGAGAACTACATCTCAGTTTTTCCCACACTACACTGTTGACAAGCGTTTTAACCCTGCCATCTTCTCTTTTTTTATCTCATGATCTATTTGTTTTGGGATGTTGCTTGGTTTCCAGCTTTCCCTACAATTCTGATGATGTCCAGCCGGTGGACTTTTCACGATTTTCTTCAGACATTTACTCTCTCAACTATTTGCTTTGTTAGCTTCCGTATTTCCAGGGAACACAGAGAGAGAGGGGAAATTATCGCTATTTGACGGTATGCCAATTTGCACCAAACCAACTACACCACGTAACCTCATGTGCAAATTATTAAAAGGCCACCTATTCTATGTGGTTGGGACATTACTCATGAATGCGCTGGCGTTTGTTCTTATGTTGGCCAACTACTGATCATCGTTGCCATAGCCTTATTTCTGTTTTTTTTATAATCAAAAAGTCTTCTTAAAATAAAGCTATAATTGTGAGGACCGGTAGGTATCAGATGCGTTCTGCACAACCATAGATCTAGATCTAGCGTAGCTCGTTTTGGGTTTTTTTTAATTTGGTAGTTGTTTTGTTGTTGTTGTTGTTTTGTTTTGGGGGGGTTTTCACTGTCGTTTGCTGTTCACGGTGGAAAATGGCCTTCACCCAGCCCATTAAATAAACTTAACCTGAAACTTATCTCTACAACTTTTACGTTATTCTCTGTGCTATTCTGTGTGTGTCTGTTCTATAGGCTATAGGCCTACTGTATGTAGCACACCTGAGAGGGGGGGGGGGTCACAGGCTATTCTCACCCCTGGTGAAAATAACTACTTCCTTATTCAAAATATGAGACGAGAATATCACCAAATCAACCAGCTTCACAAGTTCACAACTCAAAAGAGTCAGGATACAACAAGGACAGGAGCAGACCACGTGCAACTTGGCCAGATGGCGTTAAAGAGGTCCTCCTCCAAATGATTAACACAGTAACAACAGAAGCCACCGACCAAGCCTTTGACGGAAAAGTTCACCTCTTCTCGACTTCTGACAATGCAAGAGGAAGGATAAAGAAAGAAAGTAAAGTAAATAAGACATCAGAATAATGTGTACCCACCAGAAACAATGACTCACTCAAGACGGTGGCACAGAGCATTGACTGAGCTACGCACGCACACACATACTCAGAGAGAGAGAGAGAGAGAGAGAGAGAGAGAGAGAGAGAGAGAGAGAGAGAGAGAGACAGATAGAGAAAGACAGGCGTACACTCAAACAAACAAACAAACAAACAAACAAACAAACAAACACTCCCATTTCCAGAATGTTGTGCACAATTCAGACCCCTCTAAAGTTGTTTAATCGTTTGTATTTGAGTATCTTTTCTTATCTCACGATTTTGTTTAATAAAAGTGCTACACTTATGCAGCTTAGATCCTTCTAAGGTAATCGCATCGTCTATGTTCGGTGGTCTTATCTTATCTTATCTTATCTTGTCTTATCTTATCTTATCTTGTCTTATCTTATCTTATCTTATCTTATCTTATTTTATCTTATCTTAATGCGTGCCGACCAGTCACAATAACTCACCCAGACAGTGGCGATAAATGACATTTCCAGCAATCTTGCAGGTCATTCAGACTCCATCTCAAGTCATCAAATCGTTTGTATTTGATGGCCACTGAGAAAAAGGGAAAGATTTAGTAGCACTTTACGTATGCCGTTATAACAACGCTGTTGTCCTGTCTGGTGGACTAGGAACTTGGGGGAAATTTGAGTTCATCATGTCTGGACGCCATGATTCTGAGCTTTGTGCTCTCAAGATTAGATCTCTCTGCCTGTCTTTCTTTCTTTCTGTCTTTCTCTCTTTCTTTCTCTCTTTCGTTCTCTCTTTTTCTCGGTTCTCTATCTTCATCTCTCTCTCTCTCTCTCTCTCTTTCTCTCTCTCTCTCTCTCTCTCTCTCTCTCTCACACAC